CTTACTTAGCACTTTTACGTCATAATCTATTTTTTCAATCCGTATTTTTAGAGCAGTTAGATATTAAATAAATGTTATACTTGAATGTTTAGTAAAATAATTTAATTACTTAAAGGTAAAAGAACGAAATTAAGGTCATTAATAGAAACTTATTTGTAATATCAAATTTAAAGCGATTTCTTGACAATTTAGGGGCTTTCTTTTTTGAGGATCTTGGCGATAAGCTTTACCAAAGGTTCTAGATGGTTTTAACGAAGGTTTAAGCACAATTACGGGGCTTAGGTTATATGATTGTGCTCTATATGTGTCGATATGGGAATCGCACGACTATAACCTTAATTCCTATCACTATAGCTAAATATATAGAGCTCTTATAGAATCTCAAAGTAATATATCAACTTTTTTGCAAGTTAAAAATGGTATTATATCGCACTTTGTATTTGTACGTGCAAAATTATACTATTCCGTTTCAGATTAAGTGAATTATGTGACTTTAAGTAATTAACAGCACTAATGGGTATCATCTATATCATTAAATCTCTCTTTTACACAAGACAGTAATTCCTTATGCATATCTCTTCTACAATATTTAACTGTCATGCCTCTCCTCCCATTATAGGTACTATCCTGCTGTATAGTAGTTCTAAACAAATTATGAATTGTAGTAACTTGTCTCTTATATTATATTTGATTCTCGTGATGATAACTTGATTTGTAGGTTTTGAGTTGTTTAAATATATCTGTGTGTTTTGCAGTAGTGTATACAGATGATAACTAAAAAAGGGTCTTTAACATCTCATTAGAGAGAGCAGTTATATCCAAATTTAACTGTGTCTATTCTATTTTTATTACAATATATACGATTAGTATATTTATATATATTTTAATTCACATTTTCATTTTTAGATACTTTATTTATATTTATTTATTTAATTAATAGATTAGTTGATACAATTTCCCGGGCCTATATCGTCTTAATGAACGATATTCAAATTGTTGGTCTCCTATCCTGATATGTAAATATTCACAAAGGCATTTTTAGTTAAGAATCAAGCACATAATAAATCAAATTGGATGAAGATCAATTTTTTCTAAAACATTTTTCTTTCAGAGTTTTTAACTCATTGTGATAAGTTAGGTTAAAAATTTTTTTATAATAAAGTAATAAAAATCGCTTGCAAAAATCATCGTCAATGTCCTTTAGCTACTCTTGGAACATAACTTCTCCATAAAACTTCTGAATCTCGTGCTAATGCTATCAGTTTCTTTCAACTGTTTCCGATATCACGAATATCATATTTTGCGACTGCTCTTCATAATATTCTTGTTGTACGAGATTCCTTACTGTTGTCCTGGACATTTTGATTTAATGCGTTGCAGCTACAGATGGAAGCGGATTAGCATACTTGCACTATTTCACAGATGCAGTATCCTCTTCGAGATCAATATTATCATACAAAAAGGTTCTCAACATGCCTCCACCTAACATCTCCTTGGAAGAACGACATCTCCCCCGTGCAGCAAGAACAGTTCTAGCTCAACAGTTACTTGTCAAGCTTAAACACGTCTATTCCTAAAGTGTGCCAATACTGTTGTCCTGTCCTACAACGCTCACAAACCTCCGTCCAATTTACGATTGGACCCATCCCATTGAAGTGGCTAGGTTTCTCAATCGTGACCCGGGTTAATGTTTCATTAAATCCTAACCACCTAATCCATCCCTTATCCCCATTCCCCTCTCCATCATCACCAACTACTACCCCTCCAGTTTCCCATCCATGCAATCGTCTTGTGTATCCGTTCATGTTAACTGCTTACAGGTCTTAGCGGGCTACAACAATAACAACTTACACTATTTAAATTAGGCAGAGACTTGTTCTTGTTTGAATTAAGTGTAGAGATCAGCATTTATGGTAATAATAAGCCATCAAATTTTTAGGCAGTTTATGAGGAGTTGAATCTTTATTATAGCATTGTCTGCCATATAGCAAAACCTATATTTTATATATAAACAGCAAGTTTTTTAGTTTGATTGTAATGGAAAATATTAGCAACTTTAAATCATTAAGCAATTACAGAAATGCTGGATTTGCATTACTTATTCTATTCGGTAGTTATTGTAACAAGGATTTCTAGATAGGTATAGAATTCTAAGTGTTTTAAAATCTTAACTGACTATATATCTAGTAGTGCTGTTCCTATTATTTAATATTTGAACTATTCGGGTGTTCGAATAATCAAATTTGAGCGGTTTGAATTATCCACATTATCCACATTTATCCAAATAACCAGCGTTATTTGGTAATAGGGTAATTGGGTTATCGATATCCCGTACACGAATATCTGTATATTAATTGTTTGATATCCAGATATCCAAACACTCCACATTTTAGTTTGAGGTTAAATTAGCTTTTGGATGATCATATGGATTTAGATATATTTGGAAATTTTTACAAATAAAAACGGTTTTATAAATGAAGTTATAGAACTATCTCCAGAAATGAAGATATACAAATAAATTTGTTTTGGCAGTAATATTAGATTAGCTATAACTTTTTATATTGTAGTAGAAGAATTTTATATAAAAATTAACTATTGTCTTAATATTGTACACAATACTATTATTAATATTATTAAAACTAATATGAATATTATTAATAACATTAATATCGGTTGAATAATATTAATATAATTAA